ATTTCTTTTTTATTAAGTGTATGTTTTGTTTTGTAAGTCGACGAGGTCGTCGACGGTTTAAGTGGGGGAGGATGTTAGAATCCGCCTCTTTCTCTATGTATCCCCCTTCCATTTTCCTTGTATTTTCCTTATGTAATGTCCCCTAAGTCTTTCCTTTTAATTTCTAGGCTCTAGGGAGAATTATTGTGTTACTGTAGTTTCAGTATTCACTAATATTTCTCTGTATAATCAATATAAAGCTCTTTATGGGGCGAATGGTTGAATGAATAAAAGCTCCTATCTCGGTTGCCTTTGCTTTAAGACTTGTGTGTTTATTTAAGCCTTTATAGATATTGTGCTTGTCTTGTTTTAAAGCATCCCCTCCAAATCAAGAGAACCTCAAAAGACGCCTTCTTTATCGTCGGTCCTGCTTGTGCCCGCTTCGAAATATCAGCCGTCACAAGCCCCGACTACGCACTCGTTGTTGACGAGTGCTTCCTTGAGATACCTTTAGTCCGTGTTGCTGTGTGCCCACAAACCCTCTCCGCTCTAGGCTTGCGTCCTTGTTGTCAAAAGACAAGCGCGCGCCGCACGATCCGATGTCAAAACTCTCGGACCGTAACACTCGACCACCCCAACAGCGGCGCGAGTAGACCATGTCTCGGCTCTCTCTAGCTCAGAAACGCCAGACAAGTCACCGAAAAACTCAACAGCTGAGTCTTAGTGAGAGAGCAAGCTGTTCCTTACAAGTTCTGGAATGATGACAAGTGGGGCGGACTCAAACCCCATGTCCGAAGACTAGAAGGTCCTGAAAGAGTTCCCAACCGAGGTTGACGGAACGTCAAAGTTTCGGGGCTCGTCTACTCTTTCATCAGCCTCCTTGAAATCAACGGGCCTCCTAGGAAAAATTTATACATCGTCATCCTCGGCAGGCAGCACAATGAATGCATCAGCCTCTATCTAAACCTCGACAGCAAAATGTTCAGCAACGTGCCGAGGAGACTGAGATGGAATGGGAGGAGTCCTTTGCTGAACTTCTTCCTCCCGATTCTCGGGAGGAGGAGGAGTATTTTCCTTGGCCACCTCGGCCTGGGTCTCAGCCAACCGAGGTCTTTTGGCGGCAGGCTTAGAATCCGGGAATTCTCCCAGGTTTACAATGGCTCTTCTTAATCTTTTCCTCCTCTTTCCTGCCATATCTTCGTCTGAAGATTCGTCTAAAGAATATGGCTGAGCTTTTTCAGGATCCTTCTTGTCTTCTTCTTCGTCAAACTGCAGTAGAAGAGACAAGGAGGGAAAGGTGATATCAGTATCATAAAAAAAAATAAAAAAAATAAAAAAATAAAAAAAAATACCTCAAAGCCGAAGCTTAGTACTTAGACAATTTTCACAAGTTGAAAGGTCTAGGTAGAAGGAGCGAGGCAGCCGAAGTTCAATACTTAGAGTAATTTCAAAAACATTTCACAAGTTGAAAATTTTAGATGAAAATCTAAGTAAAGGGAACAAAGCTAAGAGAAAATGAAAGCTGAAAAAGCATTAAAATCTTACCGAAGTCTTCAGCAGCAATTCGTCTTCGGCGCTAAGTACGTTGGGCTCAGCAACAAGTGTTGTTTGCTCAACGTTCTGCTCGGAGCCAACAGCAAAGACTCCAGCACCAACAGCGGCAGCAGCAGCAGCAACTGCTTGTTCCTCGGGGCCCAAAAGAAAAAAAGGGGTCCCTCTTTCGATACCAAGGTTTCTGCCTCGAATACTCAGTTGGCTTGACAATTTCAAGCTGTGATGGGCGTAGTGCGGGGGCCCTAGCTAGAGGATCAATTATAGTAGGGGCTTTCCTTGCACTTGCCGAGTAGGGCTAATTCCAAGCCTCCTGTATTCCAATTCTCCACCACTCAGGACCATGGTGTTCATCAGAATGCTGATTCGGTACCAGCTTATATAATTTTTGGAACACACCTAAGCTCGGCTCAAATCCGTAAAAGAGATGACATGTTCATTTTATATAGAGATTTACCCCCGTCTTTTGGTCATATTTAGGAGTATTATTGGCCATTTGGAGCCACTTTTATTACTAATATGCGTTTTATAGGAAATTGCAGATTTGAAGCATTTTTCCGGACTTATTTGAGCCACTACGAGCATTGAAGTGTGATCGCGTTATTATGGCCATATTCCGTAGCCCAAGACCGCGTTGGAGCAATCAAACCGGTGATTAAGGGCTCGGGGAAGAAGAAGAGTCCGTGGCATTGGAGCGAGTCTTAATGACCCAAAGAGGAAATGAAAATTGGGCCAAGAACATAACCCAAGATAAGAGGTCCAGCTTGTCCGAGAGCTCGCCCGACCAGGTAAGCCCTCGCCCTGAGGCACGCCTGGCCGGGCGAGGCATATAGAAGAAAGCAGCCCTCTGCCTGTCTCGCGCCCGGCCGGGCAAAGCTCGGTGCTACCGGGCGCGTGTTTCTAAGAGGAATTTCGGCAATTTTAGTTCTTCTTTAATTAGGATTTTTAAGCCTAAGTATAAATACGTTTTGTTTTAGGAAGTGAACAACGTTTTTCTCATTAGTAAAATTCCAGATTTTAGTTTTAAGCTTTGGTTAATACTCTTGATTTCTCTCTACACTTTGGATTTATGCAATTCATATTTCCGTTTATTTTAGTAACGATTTCTTTCCCTTTTATTTTCAGTAATTTAATTGTTTTGATTAATTATGTCTTGTTTAATTGCTTTGATTAGTTTAGATTTAAATATGTGTGAGTAGTTTATTTCTAGGGTTTTGGGGATCCATAAATAACATGGAGGGGTAGGTTTATTATCATTGACTGTCAATGCTTGATTGTTTTCCTATTGATTGATTTAATGCTATGCAATTAGATTAGGCCTGGTTTAATTGTATGAGTTATGCAATATTGATTCAAGATGAGAATTGATGTTTAGGCTTAGTTTCAGTAGGCAAGTTAATTTATAAATGGTTAAGTCAAGATTCGAGAGATGCGATTTAATACCGGTAGATTAATTCTGTGATTATAATACGTAGCGAAAGCCCTTTATAATCTGGTTAATTTATGCATTGATGATTGATTATTGTGTTTTACCCTGGAATATTATTTATTGGTGAACCTATGCCCTACACTTTGATTTATTGATTTCCCCCTTATTTAATTTGCTTTAGTTTAATTATTTTCCCTTAGTTTAGTTTTCACATAATAATTCGGTTACTTAATAGTTTAGATTATATTAATTATTTAGGAATAGAAAGACTTGTTTTCCTGTGGATTCGACCCTACTTCCCTATCTATTTTAGTTAGTGGTTTTAGGAATTATTTTTTATTAGGTGATACGACTTTAGCCTGTCAAGAGATACACCCATAATAATGTCATGACTCTTCGGATGCTCACCGGGGTCAGTTGACACAGAGAAATATCATACCCATTCAACACTTGTACAACGAATGGGTGCAGAGGGAATCTAAGTCCAGATTGAAGCTACCTGGTGTGCACGCCGATGTAACCACGTGGAGGTCTATGGATTCTATTCTCGGCAACGAGCATTTGTCACCAATACCCGTCTTCCTCCATAATGCCATAAAACACTTCAATTTGTTCGACAAAGTGATGGAGGGCATTCTTTGACCCACCAGTCATAGGGAGCAGCGTTTGTCAACCCAATGTTCTCGGGTGGGTTATACCATTCCTCGGCACCAGCAGGCAGGCGCCGAGGCCCATGCGCTGAGCCACTGGCGGAGGTGCTTGCCTCCTCCCAACCTCGGTACGGCACCGAAGGTAGTGGTATCGCAGCCATGGGGGGTTCCCCAGAAGAATCTCTGTCTTCTCGTCTTGGCAGAGAGATGCTATTACTCAGGCGCGGCATTCGCCCTAATGGCTTAGTGCGCCTAGCACCTCGCTGAGGAACTTCCTCATCTTCAGCCCCCATGGGTCTCTTTCCTAAAGCTCGAGCCAGTTTTGCAAAAAGGTGAAAAAATCAAGAAAAAAGGGAAAGCTTTGGAAAACAAGAAAATCCAAACGAGTTTCGGGAAAAATTACCTTTATTGGACTCGGAATTTTCCAATCTATCAGCTCGGGGAAACAAGTTTCAGTCTAAATGCTCGAAATCATAGGGAATAAGGAAGAATTGAAATCGGGTTCTCAAGGGTGTTTGCGAATTTCTGGGAGTTCGTGTTTGCGAAATGTGCCGGAAAAGAGTGGTGAGGGTGGTTTATAGAGGCTTGCCGGAATCAAGAATTCCAAGAGCTTAAAACCGCCAAAAAAACCCCCAGTAATTCTTCTTAAATCTAACCGTTAAACACATTCTCAAGTAAACTACCCACTAAACCTTCTACCTTCCCTAGTTATTCTTCCTAATGACAGTTAAAACATCATTAACTGTCTAAATTCCAAATTTAAAATTCAATCATTTGTTTCCCTTCATTTTGCAAGTCAAAACCCGAACCGTGTTTCATCCGAATCGGGTCTGGGGGTCAAGTTGTTTGGGTCCAATTTAGTTATCCTTAATTGGGCCGATCCAAATGATTTAATTACAAAAGTCCAATGCAAGGTTTAATTCTCCACAAGCATGCTAAGTCAATCAAGCCCAGTCAGCATGGCAAGCCCATCTGATTTCAAGGGCCCAGTCCTCCTCATTTGAGTAAAGGTATAAAAGTCATCAATTGTCTCATCTTACATTCATCTACAATCAGCCTCAAGCAATTAATTCTCTTGCATAGCATTTACTCTCACTAAATTGACTTTAGCATCGGAGGGGCCTTCCTCGGCAACCACCCCCGAGGCTAATTTACGTTGTTCACTGTGCAGGATATCCTCGGCCTAGTCACCACTTGGACCGAGATCAGTCTTCCCCCTTGAAAAGGATCTAGCGACGGTCCTATTATTTTTATACCGAAACAATTACTAATAAGTATTAATAAATCTTATTCTTATGAATTCGTGCACTATACGGAACCAAAAGTAGTATTGCATTAAGATGGCAACTGTAAAGAAGAAACGAGTAAAACATAAGACATTCATGTAGAGATTGTTTCAAATATAAAAAAAAAAAGCTAGATCATTACACTTTTATTTGATCTCAGACAATATAGTCACAATTTAGCCTTCTAACATAATATAAGGATAATCCACAACTTTAAACCATGAGTAACATTATACCGATTAATTTTCATTAAAGCTAAAGAGCCACGAGGATGATCTTTTAACATGGCAATCCTTTATTCCTTTTAACATAAACATAATCCACCACATATATCTTAATATATGTGTAGGAAAATATGGCGGTGTAGGTACATATCGGATTTAAATACGCAGTAAATAACCAATAAATACACAAATGAGAAACATTAACATGCCTGCAAATCATTCTTCACATCAAGGTGATCATCATATTCATATACGCCTTCCATTGCTGAAGATGAAAGACTTGCGACTTGTTGCTGCAAACATAATCGAGAAAATTATAACTATTTGGTCAATAATGTAATGTACTGATAAAATTCGAGATTTTGGGTACCATCCTCAGTTACTACATTTGTTACATATTATGGATAACTTTTGGCTATTATTTATGAGATAAAAAAATTCAAAAGTTGCACATAATATGAAGTAATACATACTTTACTAATTTAATTAACTAAGCAAATATATAATTTGACTTCTACCAAAAACCAAATTTAAATGAGGTGTTTGACTTAATAAGTGACGAGTCATAACCAATCAAGTACATAGTATAATAATTAGATCGACAATTATATTATTTAGTTCGTTCTTGAGTACTCGTAATAATTTGATTTTGACCTTAAATTAATAGTCACCTAGTATATCAGTAGATTAAATCATGTGCAATGCACGAATGTTAAATAATTTTAATAACAATATAGATATATATGACAAAAATATATAATACAATGAATATGAGAGAAAATATTTTAAAACAACAAAAATTTGAGAGAAAAAATATTTTAATATGTAATACAAGTAGTTATAATGTGCAAATGTGCAAGTTGATATTTTAGGAACTTTACTATAGATTTTATATAAATTAAAAGTCATAATTTAGATACAAATTCACTGATTGTAGAACTAAGCAATTGAATGGAAGTGGTCATGTCCTCCAATTTCTTCTCTAAATAAGCACTCTTCTCTTGAAGCTTTTGAATGACTTTTTTATTCGAATTAAGCAACTGAATGGAAGTGGTCATATCCTCCAATTTCTTCTCTAAAGATTAAAGAGCATTATTCTCTTGAAGCTTTTGAATGACCTTTTTATTCTTCACAAACAAATACAAAATAAATAAATAAATAAATAAATAAATAATAAAAATAAATAAATAAATAAATGGAAAGAAAGAAGATAAAAACAAATGATACAAATAGTACTCCATCTTTTCGTGATGCACTATTTAAAGTACTTGTGATTTAAGATGATGACCAATTGACCATACATTTTTTTTTCAATCAAATTAACAATGCGTTAATTAACATATATATTTTCTAAAATTCTACTCAAATCTTTATACTTTGTACATTTTAGAAAAAAAAACAAAATATTAATTATTTTCTCAGGAAGGAAATTAAATTAACAATGCATATATCATGTTCGTCTTTCTAATTTATTTTATTTTTAATAGATGTTTACCTTTCTACATCAAAATGCTTTCTTGTAAAAAAAAATTAAAAAAATAAATCCTGTTTTTTTTAATAAAAACCAAAACAAGAAATTATAATAAGCGGTTTTCAATTATTCTCCATAGTCATTTATCAAAATTATCATGATTTTAATAGATTTGACCAATTGTAATCTATTAACTATTATTAAAACAAAACATGCTGATGTCATCAATTCCTAAAATATTTTATGTGTCAAAATTTAAATATGATGTCATCAATTTTATTTTATTTTTTTTAAAGCCATCAATTTTATTTTATTTTTTTTGCCTTTTCATTTTATTTGCTAGAAACTGTAACCAAGTATGTATGAAGCTAAAAATCTGAACTGAGTTTGACATCAATATTGTTGTGCTTCCACTCTAAATGCATAAGCTCATTAGATAATGCAAAATTTTATATATGAAGTATAGTTTTTTGTAACCATCATTTTAGTATATTTTCAATAACATAGTAAATATTATGATGTAGCATTAAATAATAATCATTTAAAAAAAAACAAGGATGATGTACATGTTCTTACTTTTTATTTTTTTAATATTTATAGAGTAATAAACTTTATTTTTACAAAATAAAAAGCGAGTTAGGTCATGTTAAAAAGTTATCAACAACAAAAGATATAATAACAAATATGAAAAAATTGCTTATCACCACCGTGCCAACACGCAGATACTAATCTAGTTCATTATATGACATAATATCTCATATAATTTGGAAAAAAAAAAAGTTATAGCGATACCGAAATAAGCCCTAAATAATTGGCTCACCATGTCAACCGGAATTACGAGTATATATTTGGGCAACGCTTTCTTTGAGTTCATCAACCTCCTTTCGTGTTTGATTAATTGATGAATTGACCGTGTCAATCTTTTGATGAAATTGACCAAAATTATTTATATCACTCTTGATAAATTATACAACAATATTCTTATCAAATCATATAGAAATAAATACGACAATTTACTTGAGAACAAGGTACAAAGCTAAATTAAAGAGGTTACCACGGATGTTGAATGGAAATCGGTTTCAAGCTTATGCAAGCCGTAGTTTATTCCATAAATTTGATCATCCAAAAACCCAACCTTTTTCTCCAAGGATGATATGGCCTTTTTTGAGGATGCATTGCCTTCATCTTTGATGGATTGATACTCGTACTTGCCGTTCTATGTACAATTCAATCATAAGTATTAAGGAAAGTATATAATAAAAAGTCATACGACAGTGTATCTACAATTAACTAAATTGTTACAAATTTATAAATTTTATAATCACTGAGTAGACTAGATCAAACTTGAACATGAAACAAACCTCGTAATATGAATCTTGAAAGAGTAAAGGTTGTTGTGATTCCGATTTGGGTAGTCGATGGTAACCAAACCTGGACATCATTAGGTTCTTGAGTCTGCCTACTCCGGATTCGAGACCCATGTTATTCATTATCCTTGTGAAATATATATGCTAGCTTCTTATATAATGATTTGATTCCAATTGATCTCCCTAAAATTTCAACTTCACTTACTCCTCCTTCAACTAGCTTTGGGTGTATTAATTAATTCACTTTCTTGTATATGATATATATATATAGGTATATGATAAATACACCCAACTACTTATAGAGTTATAGTCGGTCAAAAATTTGGTGTATTAATTCACTTTCTTGCATATGATATATATAGGTATATGATAAAAAAAATTCACACGGAAAATTTATTTCATGTGTGAGCGAGTCTTAGTCATACTAGGATTAGGACATATAATAGGAAATTTTGTTAATTACTACCTCAAAAACAGAGGCTTTGTGAATTATTACCCCTAAAAATAAAAGTTTTTAATTACTACCCCTAATTCACCTAAATAGTACCGATTACTACCCAATTACTCTTTCCGTTGACTTAAATCACCTTATGACGTCATTACTCCGATTTAACCACAGTTCACCCATTCCGCGCTCGCGTCCAGGACAACCGCGCCCGCGACTACTTGTAAACAAAGCCGCGAAAACCCGCGCCCGCGGCCTTGTGTGCCGCGCCCGCGTCCTTTTGTGCCGCGCCTGCAGCCAGCCTTCTACCGATTAAAACGAGGAAGAAGGAAGTTGGAGAGGATGCTAAGAGGGTTGCTGACCTTGCAGAGAAGGCTGCAAGAATGGGTGGGACCTGTAGTGCTATTTAACTAGAGGGAAGTAGTTAATATTAGCAGCATTCCTATTCCAATGTTTGATGAAGGGGATGGCTAGATGTGGCATCATTCGAAGGATGGTAATTATAATGTAAAAAGTGCGTACAACTTGATGATTGAGGAGGAGGAGAGGGGAAGAGCTTCTACTTCAGTAGGAAGGAGTGAGTTCAAGTGGAGGACTATTTGGCATGCTCACATTCCGCCAAAAGTGAAACTTTTTGTGTGGCATTGTGTAAAGGACAGCCTCCCTACTAGAAGTAATCTTGCTGCAAGAGGCTTAAATGTGGACAAGTTGTGTCCAATGTGTGGGGAAGAGGATAAATCAATTTTGCATATGTTGCTATTGTGCCTGACTGTAGGAGTGATTTGGATATATTCGGGGCTAAGGTTGGATATTAAGCTTCAAGGGGATGGTGGGTTCAGAGAATGGTGTTCTGCTATGAAGGAAAAAATTAGTGAGTAGGTGGTGGGATATGTTTTGGTGTTTGGCTTGGGGAGTGTGGCTGAGACGAAACGGATGGGTTTTTGAAGGTAAGAGGAAGCTGGAGTTGGAAGTCATTCACAAGGCTGCAAGAATGGGTAAAAGGCTGGCCGCGCCCTTAGAGTGGGCGCGGCACACAAGGTCGCGGGCGCGGGTTTTCGCGGCTTTGTTTGCAGGTAGCCGCAGGCGCGGGTGTCTTGGTCGCGGGCGCGAAAAGGGTGAAATATGGTTTAATCAGAGAAATGACGTCATAAGGTGAGTTAAGTCACCTGAAAGTGCAATTGGGTAGTAATCGGTCCTATTTAGGTGAATTAGGGGTAGTAATTAAGAACATTTTTTTAGGGGTAGTAATTCACAAAGTCTATGCTTTTGAGGTAGTAATTAACAAAATTTCCTATATAATAAGCAAAATTCTTGATGCTTTAGGAAGTACAAATGTATTGCGGAGGGAAAATAAATCTTAATTTCTTTCACACAAAAAAAAAAAAAAAATTATAAAAAGATTTAGATTTTATTTAGGGATTTTTCACCAAATACCACTGAGTTGTTTCGTAATTCACCATATACCACACAAAATTTTCTAATACACCAAATACCACTGAGTTTTTGGTAAATGTCACAACATACCATTTCCGTTAACGGTGTTAGTCATTAACGTATGCCACGTGGCAGCTTGTAATTGGTGATTATAAATGTTATTTATTTAATTAACTAACTTTAAAAAAAATTAAAGTAAAATTAAGGACAATTTCAATTTTGCTACCACCAAAAGGCATGCACCTCAGTTTTGCTACCCCTCCAATTTTTTTTTTTTTATTTTACTACCACCTAAATCACAGTTGTTAAAAATTGCTACCACTAAACGGAATCCGTTAGGATTCCGTTAAGTTTATTAAAAAAAAATTAAAAAAAAAAGAAAAAAAAACCCAGCCACCCTCAACTGCCCCCCTCCCATTAGCCCCCCTCCCCCCTGCCGGCGACCAGCGCCCAACGCTTTGGCCGGCGCCGGCGACCCCACCCCAATCCCTTTCCCCACCAATGCAACCCACCCCCTCCTCCCTTATCCCTTTCTCGCTGCCCCAACCCCCACCCGAAACTGGAAAACACCCTCCCTCCCCATCCCCCCCCACCGGAATCGGACCCCCTCCCCTTCCCCCACCCCTAAACCACCATAAGCGAAACCCTAAAACCCGTTTAGGGTGGTTTCGGGCTGGTGTTTATGGGTTAGAGGTGCGGTTTTTGGGTGAGGTTTTAGGTTGGAGAAGGGGAGGTGGTGGGATTTTGGAACTGAGGAAGGGGAGTAGGTAGGCTTTTGGCGATGGCTAGGTAGGGAGGTGGTTTCGGTGGTGGGCTAGGGGAGGGAGGGTGGACGAAATCGGGGAGGAAAAGGGATGGGGTGGCCGGAAATGGGGTGGGAAATGGAGGGGATGGCCGGAATCGGGAAAGGAAGGGAGTTGGTGGCCGGAATCTGGTAGGTAGATCGTGGCTGGAATGGGGTAGGGGGCGGGTGGTTGGGGCTGCCGGAATCTGGGTTAGAGTTTTTTTTTTTAATTTAATTTAATTTAATTTACTTTTTTTTTTTAATAAACTTAATGGAATCCTAACCCATTCCGTTAAGTGGTAGCAAATTTTAACAACTGTGATTTAGGTGGTAGTAAAATAAAAAATAAAATTTAAGGGGTAGCAAAACTGAGTTGTCTGTCTTTTGGTGGTAGCAAAATTGAAATTGTCCTATAATTAATAGAAAAAAAGGGGGAAAAAAAAAACCAAGCCAACACCAACCCACAACCATTGGTGGTGACACTCCCCTCCCTGGCCCTCTTTGAACCACCCCTTCCCTTACCCCAGCTCCCAAAACCTCCCCTAAAACCGCTCCACCTCCACAAAACCGGCTCCCTCCCTCCCTCCCCCCACCCCCTATACCAGCAATAGCCAAAACCCGAAATCGCCACCCATAACCCCGAAATAGCCAACGGCCCTGAACGAAATTGTCCCCCTCGCCTCCCTCCACCCCCGAAACCACCTGTAACACTAACCCTAACCGTCGAAATCACAAGGAAGAAGATAGAGACTTTAGAGAGGATTTTGGGGGTTTCGGCAGCTAGAAATAGGAAGGGGAAGGGTTTCGTGGGATGGTGGGTTGGCCGGAAATAGTCGAAAAGGGATGGGGAAGGGGGTTTTGGGTGGGGTGGCCGGAATCGAAAAGGGGAGGGGAAGGGGGTTTTGGGTGGGGTGGTCGGAAATCTAAAAGGGATGGGGAAGGGGGTTTTGGGTGGGGTGGCCAGAATCGAAAAGGGGAGGGAAGGGTCTCTCTGATTTTTTTATTTTTTATTAAACTAAATTTTTTTTGTTGAACTTAAATTAATTTTATTGAATATAAATCTATACTATTGATTTTCACGTCTTTTTATATGCTCTTGCACCTTTAAAAATTCCAAGCAAACTTTTTATGATACCTAATTTATTTTTCCTCTACTTTTATTTGTTTAATTAATTAGCATAATTATTATAACTTTTTCTAAATAATATAGAAGAGAAAGATGATTCTTTGACCTTTTTCCCTTCACTTTATTTTTGCTGAATTGTAATTATTTTTGTTAAATTGAAGTTATTTTTACCAATTAAAATTTATTTTTACAAATTCTTTATTATATTTTTTTATTTAAAGTTAAGTGATGCGCGTAAAGTCCGTTGAGAGCGATTGCTTAGCTTGATTTATGGTAAGTCGGTATGATTGTTAAAGAGATAAAATTAGCTTAGATCAATTTATTTCTTGAATTTTGAGTATGTTAAGTATATCCAATTTTTAGAGAAGCAAATTGTGTAGCTCATTGTCACGATTCAAGTACCATACTCTTTATAGTGTCAATGGGGTCGTATGGGCTAAGATTTCTAAATTCTAATGAACACTATATTGATAGTAACAAAATAATGGGTTATTTGGGGCCCAAATGAAGTCCAAATAAACCCAAACTTGAGTGTCCACTATTTTTCGGGTCAATGAACATCAAAGTGAAATCAATTATTGAATACGGGGCCTGGAAATTGTTAGGTTTTACAGCAATTCAAAGAACAATGAATTACTTATAAATGTGGGAACAAAACCTAAAACAGTGTATAAAAATATCAAATTATACAACAATTCAAATACTAATCAAATTTCTACAAACCAAACACCAAATCATCAATGTAATCAGAAATTACAAAAGTAAAACACTAATGTGAAAGATTCTACACTTGCCTCATTCCAAGCCAATGAATCCACCAAGAACATGAGAATACCAAGAACCACGTGAGTCTTCAATACCGGATACTTGTCTAAGGCGTGTAAACACTTTCCTAAAGTGATTATTTCCCCCACCACGGTGCATGGATTGAAACCGGAAAGTCACTTTGAGATACAATAGACAAACACTACAATCTTTGCACAAGAATTGTAGTAAGATGATCAGATTCTCAAAACTAACTTAATTGATAGAGGATTTCTTGAAGAGATTGCAAGTTTCTTAGAGAAATTGTTAAGAAGAGATAATAATAGAGAGGAAATCAGAGAGAGCAAAAAACCAGAATTCAATAATATTCATTCTAATAATTTCGCAATTAAAAGAACAAACGAAACTGCAACTACCAGGGCCGCGGGCGCGGCGATGCATGCCGCGGGTGCGGCGACCAATGCCGCGGGCGCGGACAAGCTGAATTGAAATTCACCCTCAGATTCTGGAGATGGCTGGTCGCGCCCTCGCTGCGGGCGTGGCTTTCCGTGGCTTCCTTGCCATGGCCTCTCCTGTATTAGGAAAGGGCTCTCCCAACACACTCTAAACCTCTAACAGAAATATCATTCAGAATTGCATTGTTTAGAACTC